AAAAACCGAGAGGCCTAGATTTTGTGGTTGTGCTTTGTTGTTACAGCTTTGGGCTTGGTCACATATCATTCTAGTGAGGCCCGAAGTGCGCGTGCTTAACAATGATCAACATGGCCCACTTCGAGAGGATGAGCCACATGGTGCTCGGTACGCTTGTTTTAATTTAATGTGAATTTATTAATTATGCTCAACACTAGAATATGTTTATTTGCTATGCAGGTGGCATATTCGGAGGTTGTTTAATGGCACTTCTCGATTTTCTGCTCGTAACTACCGAGACCAGTTTGACGGTTCACTTCTTCGACACGTATGTATTACAGATAGTCAAAATTTAAATTTAAATTTTAAAAGAACTAATATTTTATGTGTATGGTACAAGTTGTTTGGACTCCGTACAATTTAGTGGCATTACCAGATTATTGTTGGCTCGCTAGGCTTATTGCCTCAGAAACATTGTACGGAAGTTGGAAGAACTTATACAAGCAAGTCCCAATTTTGCTACAGGCTTTGGTTTCTTCTTATCCGGGAATCATGGTGGATTTTGTATGCACCTCGCCACCAACAGACCTGAACATCGAGCCCGTAATTGGAGTGAATTTTAAGTATGAATTTTGGGCTTTTCTAGTGGCTATAAATGGATTGCAGCACTCTTTACCCGTGGTGACCGTTGACGGGACGCATTTGTACGGCAAGTATAAGGGCCATCTTGAACACGGTCTACATTGTTAGGAATCTCACATTCAGATTCTACACTGATCGGTAATTACTCCTAACTTCAGCACGTTCAAGGAATCTAGCATGACAAGAATAGCATAGAGGACAAAAATCTCGCTTTTCAAAAAAAAGGACAAAAATGTCTATTAGATACTCCGTACAACATATGAGAATGAATTCAGTTCTTGCACAGCAATGAAGGTGCACATTATTGTATGATTTAGTTTCCAGTGACCTAATTCTTGTGGTATGGCTAGACCTTGTAGATCCATCAACCACAAACAACTCAATTAATTCTTTAAGGGGAACTAGTGCATCTCCCGTGCGATGCACGGAGAGATAAGTTTATCACAAATTTAAAAAAATATGAGAAAGTTTATGTTGAATATTATTTAATTATCGAAGATCAGAGGGCCAACTTTCAGTACTTTGTGGTTCAAAATTCCTGAAGATCTGATTGAGTTCAAATACTCTTAGGTGTGTAAATCCCCAACTAAAGAGGCATTCATATCCCCGAAGATTTGATTGAGTTCAATTGAATGTCTTACGTGTTCCTCCATATCCATAAACAAAAAACATTCCACCAATGTTCTTTCCAAATGCTTCCATGACAGAGGAATACACGTGTCTTTACTCGTTGGTTAACTTTGATAAAAGCTGAATATGCTCGTTTTTCAAATGACGCCGATCATAACACATTTCATCGTTAATCAATCTATTTTCAAATAACAATTAATAATGATATATAAACATTTACATCTACATGGATTTTGGTTTGTTTGAATAACGCCAACTTTAAGTGAACTATATGTTGCAATAAATTCATGTATTGCCTTATTATATTATTTTAAATATGTATTCGTTAGTCATTATGTCCCAATTTTAGGATCCATTTTTGATATATTTCTTAAAATCAATTAATAATTACATTTTGAAGCATAATATGGGTTTATATAAAATAAACATTTCAATTGTACTCATTATAATATTGGAAAGTTTAAAAAAATAAAAAGGAAGCCAATTTTAGGATGAAGAGAGACTCAAAATCATTTAACAAAACACTCCTTCCGTCACATTTAAATCCCCATTTTTGGTTTTCAACGTTTTACTCAATTTAATTTCAAATCATTTTATTTGAAAAAAGATATAGAATTAAAATACAAAAATTACATATTCTAAAATTGCATAAAAAGATCTACAAATATAATGGGGACATGACTATATGATTGAATAAAATCACAAAATAAAATGAAAAAGAATTTGGTTAAAGTTTAACCGTGAGAATAGTTCACATGCAATTGAATTATACTTTGAGGGAGTAAATTATGTTCATATAATTTATCGATGTTTTTTCCAACCTAGTAAATATTAATCCAATAAATATATTTCTCCTTCTTTGAGTATTTGTTTATACGTTCATATTTGACTATTTTCCATCAAACTTGATAAATTTTGACATCAAAATAAATAAAATTGAAATTGTATATAGTATGTGTGTGTGTGTGTGTGTGTGTGTGTGTATCACGCGCACACACACAAATAGTTTAGCAGAGTTAACTTATAAAATATTGTCAAAATAATTTTTTTATCTAATAGGAATAGAAAACAATTAGGAATATGTTTATGTGTGTATATATAGAAAGAGGAATATTAGCCCAATCATTGGCCAGACCCAAATTACTTTCCCGGCCCAGTAAGTTAAATATAAAACGAATTTTCCTAACCCTACGTTTAATTTCCGCCGCTACGATCCTCTCTTTCTCGACTATCGTCTTCATCATTTGTCTCACCTCATCCGTAATCATCTCTCTCTCTCTCAAATACAGTATTAAAGTATTTATTATTATTATGTATATAGAAACATTTTTATTTTTTCTTTTAAAATTTCAGTTTTTTTAAAACATTCATGCGGTTTCATTTTTCAAGATCTAACGTAATTGCTCTGTTTTTTTATATGCCATTTATCTGCATTTTTGTATTTTTTTCGAGTTTTAGATCTTAAAATTCAAGTTTTTTTTTCAAAAAGGCATGAAATTTGGTGTGTACAAATCTAAAGAACTTGATGTGCTTTAAAATTTTTTATATATTTTTGTGGATCTATACAACGGTAGACGTAGCAGGGTTAAACACTGGTCGAAGAACATTTCATTAAAATCTCTATGTCTTCGGAAAGCTATTATCTACACTTTTTCATCTTTTTTTAATGTATAAATTATATTTTATAATAATAATGGGAAATTTTTCATATATGATATCAAAATTAAATGAAGAAGTAAAGAACAATTATACTCTTGTTTGTCAGTTGTTTCGTTTGGTTCCACATATTTTCCCAGATTTTGTTATTTTCTTCATCACTGGACCTTTCCAGAATTTTCAATATACGTTTCTTGAAAAAAATGGCTTTTTAGATTAATTTGCTAACATTGTTGTCTTCAAAAACCTTTAAAAGAAGAGCATATAAAAAGTTAGTAATTTTTATTAAAGGAGCATATCTTTTATATCCTCTTTCTGGTTCATAATTTAAAAACAAATATTTCTAAAATTGAAATATAGAACATGACCATGATTCCATGAATATAGAACATTGGAGCATTTTCAAAACTTTCCAACGCATTAATCTCTCCAAATGGTTTCAGATTGAAAAAATGCCTAGGGAATTGTTCATCCAAAATCTCAAGTCCTTTTACCAAGTGTTAACTTAAATTTGTTTGAAACAATGTGAGGCTTGTTATTTGATAGAATTGCATGATCACTTATTGTATATAACTTCCCTTCTTTTAGTGTAGCTCCAAACATTGGTATTTCATCCTTTTGATAGATTGCAAGGATGTGGTTCCCCTAAAAAAATTTCAAATAATTAATACTATATTTTAGAAAAGTGGCTAGCCACACAAGTCTTGAAGAAAAATACCTCATTATCGTGAAAAATACACTCATGTGCATAAATTTCTCTAGCATTCTTGTAGGACATTAGATCGTAGGAACAAATTTATCTTAATTTTAGATTGGCTCAAAGGTAGATGGTTTTAAATCCATCAACCACGTCCAAAGGGCAGGCATTTTTGAAAACTATAAGGCTAATTCTTATTAAATCAGTGTAGTGTAAGAATTTAGGGGAATCTAATATAAAAGTGGAAGGGTGTGTAGTGTGTTAGATTGGAATGGTATTTATACACCCAATGGAGTGTGTTGGGTTACAACACACTCCGTATGTACTATGAACTATGAACTGACTTTGTTGGTCTTTACCACTTGTAATGGGTATTTGTTGTGTAGTACAGGGACCATGTTCATGGCATGTCTTGTAATTTATTGATTTCATCATATTTTTGCAGCACTTATTTCCTATACGAAGCTGGAATCTTTTTAATAAATAAGAGGCTGTGATGAATGGTTTTATATGACTTGAATGACATAATATATGTTAGTTTCCCTTCTTAGTACTGACTGGTTTTTAGCTCCTGTAATGGGTATTTGTTGTGTAGTACAATGACCATGTTCAATGTATGTCTCGTAATTATGTGATTTATCATTCCTTTGCAGCCGTGGTATATTACACATTTGCAAGTGGAATAGTTTCAGTAAATAGAGGCTGTTACAATATCTGCCAGTTACAATATGGCCTGATATCCATTGCACTTGCAGTTCTTTTGTCATTACATTAGTGAACTACTTGGCTTGGACGGACTCTTTGGAGATACCATGTACTAGAATTCTTGATGTGAGGATAATATTCTTTTGTCTAGAAGTGATTGTATATCTTTATAGATAGAGATTTCATTGGATGATGCCATGTGTAACAAACTATTTTCAGCCATTGGATGAAGAAATCGGGAAAATTGGGAATTGTAATTGGCATTGATTTCTCATGGGCTTTTATATATATAGTAGATTTGAGTGATGAGGAAGCTAAGAAAATTCTTCATTTATACATGCGAAAAAAATATTAAACCATTTTGAATGATTATATAAAAAAAAGTGTAAAAACTTAATTAAGAGGAGGAAAGAGTTACGTAGTATTCCCTCCGTCCCGTGAAACATGGAACATTTACTTTTTAGGAGGGATTTAAGGTAGTGTCTTTTGGTATTGAATTTCCAAAAATATCTTTTGATGTGATGGGTAAAAGTATGATTTGATGGATAGATTATTAGTAAAAAGATATGATGTGATAGTTAGGGTATAAAAAAATAAAGGGTAAAAGTGACTTTTTAATAGAAATGAGAAATGTTTTGTGGGACGGATAAAAAAAGAAAATGGAAAAGTTTCACAGGACGGAGGGAGTATAATTTAATTAACCTATTTAATACTCCCTCCGTTTGGAAAAACACTTCCCATTTGAATTTGGGGCAAAAATAAGGAAGTGTTAAATTATAGTTGATTTCCAATTTTGCTCCTGTTGTGATGTAAAAAATGAAAAAGAAGTATTTTTGAGAACGGAGAGAGTATGTGTTTTTTTCTTTGCTAGGGAGAATTTTTCTTTACGGAGTAATTAAAAAAGAACATTAAAATTGCAAAGGTATTAAAGGAAAAAAAAATCATAGACTTGGAGCAAGAAGAAGAAAGGAACAAGCAACCATTTCATAACTCATAACATTAATATGTCCATAAATATTGGAGCACATACATACAACACAAATAAAACTAAGCCTACAGCAGAGCCATCTCCACGCGACCATGGCGTGAGCTAGGCCGGCGTCGGCGGCGCCCCTGCGGCAGCAGCGGCGATGGTGGCGTACCTGGCGGCAGCGGCGGCGTGCTTGGCGGCAGCGGTGGCGTGCTTGGCGGAAGCGGTGGCGTGCTTGGCGGCAGTGGTGGCGTGCGTGATGGCAGCGGTGGCGTGCGTGCCGGAAGCGGTGGCGTGCGCGGCAGCAGCGGTGGCGTGCGCGGCGGCAGCGGTGGCGTGCGTGGTGGCCATAGGTTTCTCACGGGAAGGAATGATTGGGATCAGACGGAGGGGAGGAGGAGTGAGTACTCCTTTGTCACACTATATATATATATATATATATATATATATATATATATATATATATATATATATATATATATATATATATATATATATATATATATATATATATATATATATATATGGACCATTACTAACTTCTTTTTCTTTTTCTTTTTTTAAAAAAAAAGCAAAACTAAATGTTGATTTTGAAACGTTAAAACTAAACATTGTTAGAAGGTACATGGTAAATTTGTTTCAAACACGTAAACTACTAAACACGCAATTTTTGACTACTTAGGCCATCCGTTAAACATTAAAGATTAAGACACCACAGAACATAGGATGTACAAGATAAAAACGACCAAACTATTTCAACGAACATCCTTATTATTGTTCAATATATGTGAATTGTGGTTGTGTGTAAAAAGATTAGATTAGGTGTAGTATGTTTTTTTTATGAAAAACAAAGAAATCATTCATTAGATGAAGTAAAAAGTTTGAGGTACTCTCTCCATCCTAAAATGTTTTTCCCAGTTACTTTTTGCACGGTTAAACTTTAATCGTTTTTTTACCTATTTTTATTAGGTATTTGATTAAATAATATAGTCATGTCATCATTTATTTTATAGAACTTTTGATCTAGTTTTTAAACATGTAAATTTTATTTTTTAATTTTACAGCTACAATCAAATAAATTAAACTGAAAATAAAGTCGGTCAAACCTCGTAAACAGAAACAGGAAGAATATCATAGGCAAACATTACAATAGTGTAACCCAACTTCAAAAGGATACTACAGTAAATAATACTCCCTCCGTCCCATAAAACCTTTCTCCTTTCTTTTTTATCCGTCCCACAAAACACTTCTCATTTCTATTAAAAAGTCACTTTTACCCCTTACTTTTTCATACCCTAACTATCACATCATATCTTTTTACTAATAATCTATCCATCAAATCATACTTTTACCCATCACATCAAAGGATATTTTTGGAAATTCAATACCAAAATAAACTCCCCTTAATTGCCTTAAATCCCTCCTAAAAAGCAAAACTCTCATGTTTCATGGGACGGAGGGAGTAGATAAATAAACAATAAATATTTTTTAGAGGCTAAATCCACACCCTTAAACAGTAAATCCAATCTCCTCACCCAAATTTGGTCAATCCACCTCTCATGAAGCCACCCATTTTTTTAGTTTTCAACAATTTTCTTAAAATACGTTAAGTCAAAATTTCTTAATTAAATAGGGACGGAGGGAGTAATAAAAAACAAAGTTTCACATTGCACTTGGCTCTTTAAAGCAGCCCTATAGAATGTTTCTTTGATGAAAATTTGGCTTTTTTAAAAAAAAATTGTATGGTAGAATACAATTTTGTTGATGAAAGTTTGTAGTGAGCATCATAATGCTTATAGATAAAAGCTGATAAGGAATATGGTGGCATTTCATAAAAATGTCAATGGGTAGTATTCTACATTTTTATGTCTTTACAATCTACCTGAATAGTTTGAGAGTTATTTGCCAATACAAGTATACAACATAGTAATATTATTGGTATTTGGTAACAACACTTGCCACAACCACAGTTGAGAAGAAAATGCTTCAATGAAGAATACAGTGACAATTCTTCTAGAGATGAGCAAAATCGGACTAGTCAAATCGGATCAGTCCCTTGAAATGACCGATACTATATAGGACGGGATTGATTTGGTATGAAAAAATAGACTTTTTGGGACCGATAAGTCCCGTTAGGACCGGTCCGGTCCTTAATATGTAAAATTCTTAAATTTTTGTTCTTAAAAAAATACTCGTAAAAAATTAAAAAAAAATTATTACTTAATTTCAATTTTGGTGCTTCATCAAAATTAATTTCACTCAACAATTTTATTGGTTAATTTTAATTATTAATTTCACCCATGCGTTGTACGGGATCATGAAAATTTTCTAAATTTTGATTAATAAAAAACTACTTCGTAACATATGTTTTTAATTTTAAATAAATAATTTGAAAAATATAGTATAGATAACATATTTGTTTACCATATGTAATACTCTTTCCGTTCCTTAAAACCATTTCTCTTTCATTTTTTTCCAATTCCCTAAAACACTTCTATTTTCTATTAAAAAATCACTTTTATCTCTACTTTTTCATATTCTACCTATCACAGCATACGTTTTTACCAATAACCAAATTATCACATCTTACTTTTATCCATCACATCAAAGGCAAAATTAAAAAGTCAACCAAAATTACTCTTCTCTTATTTTTGTCCAAAGTCAAAACAAAAACTTTTTAAGGGAACGGAGGGAGTAATATTATTTATAATGTTTAAATTTAATAATAATGTAGACATTTGTTTACCAAAAATCTCCACAAAAACAATTGTCTTTCCAACAAAAAGTTTGGACTCGCTACCAGTGTTTTCACACGCTAATTACTTCAAATTAATACACATGAGTTATTGGTGCTTCATCCCATATTATAAGCCTACTCTTTATTATGAGCTCAGCCAGAGGTCTCCCTTAACAAATTTTGCACATTAAATATTCATTACGAGTTACGAATTTTAAAAGGTGAAGCGTAATTCTTTTTTTGCTGCCTTTGCATTATAATGTTTTTTCATTATATGTGCTGCTAAATTACTTACAAATAAAGATAAGGCCCTAAGGTTTTTCTATCTTAGCCTACCAATGGCTTATGAAAATTGAAATAGGATCATTTATGTGAAGAGAGGGATTACTAATGCATATTAAGCCATATTTAACCATACATAATGCTCTGTAACGGCTTTGGAATAACAAACGTTTACCACATTTCAAGCACAACATACTTCATAAATGTGTGAGAGCTAGGGATAGAGAAGTCACATGAAACAAAAATGAATTTGTCGAATTATGCATCTAAATTGGACATTGGAGAAAATTGTTGTAACCTATTGATACTTCAGTGCTAACAAATGTGCACAGAAGTTGTACTGTAAATGTCAATTTATTTTTATTCATAGCCCACTTTGTTGAAGCTCTATGTTTGATTTTTGTTTTTATTAAGGCAATGGACAGTGTTGAAGAAGCTCTAAACGGGCTAGAGGGATTGCTTCATCAGGAGCAGCTACATGTGTCAGCCCCGGTACTGGAAAGGAGCATTTAAAAGCTGCTTGTTCTCACCTCGAAAGGATAAGTAAGAAGACTTGAGAAAGAGGCAGAATTTCTCGAGGCATCTTTTCGAGCAATGAAGAAAGATGAAGAAATTTGTATTTTGTTCAAGCCTTTCTTCTGCCAAAACAAAATCAGAAAGAATAAAATAAATTATTTAGAGATGCAAATTCACCACTTCATTATCTTCTACCCATATGTATGAGTGATGTGACATTAAAACTAATAAGAAAATAAAACATGTGATCATTATAATTGGATTAAATTTCAAAAATAAGATCTCTATATTTTACATGCGTCGTTTTTTCCCATCCCCTGTAAAAAAATACCAAAAAAAAAAAGGTTTTCTGACTATCTATTCTCCACAGTTATTTGTTTCTTTATTACAGAACTATCAATTGGTTTGGAAGTTTTAGCAAGATTATGTGAATTCAAACTATCCATGTCTTGAAATTCCATGTTGGTCTATAACTCTTATTTGAAAGGTTTGAGTTTACATTTCTGCTATTGGATTTAATGCCCAATTGACAATTTAGCAATGGAGGTATGTAACACCGTGAATCAACTCATTGAGCAACACCAGCTATACCCTGTTATTGAGAACCATCAATGTCATTCACTGTCGCCTAAGCCATGTCAAAATACTACAAATTAGAAATCGATGTTTTGCCTCAACAGTATATACAACCACTTGAAATTATGATAAGGGATGTATTATTTAAAAAATTGATAATGACAATCTAGATAAACATTAAGCAAATTAATTCACTCAGTTTCACAAGCACAAATATTCTTATAGTAGTATAGAATCCATAAATGAGACTTGGGATAAGGTCAAACCTTTAGATTAGCAAATATGTTGAAATAATAAAGTAATTTTATTTACAAATTGGTATAGAAAAAAAATATCACCGTTCAAGTTATATATAAAATCTACAAAATAAGAGATAAGTAAAATATTTTATTTTATCAAATAATCAATGAAAACATAAGATATCGAGAAGCCGTAATAATAACTGAAAAGTCTAATTTAGGAAGAAGGTAGTATGTGTGTGTGTGTGTATATATATATATATATATATATATATATTATTACTACACAAAAAGAGATCGCTAATTTTCTCTAAACATATACTCCCTCCGTCTTTTTTTAACTTTTGTTAGATTTAAAAAACATGGTATTTTAATAAGATATAATGAATTGTGACTCGACCGGAAATAAAAGTGAATAGTGATTAAAATGTGGTATGTCGGATTAAAAATGTGATTTCATTATAGCCAAATCAATCAAACTACATAAAAGAAAATGAAATTACAATGAAAAAAATGTGTAGTAGCAGTAGTAGTAGAAAGAGGGTGTGATAGAAATTATTCAAAATTTGAATGTATAGTAATCGATATCAAGATTAAAAACTTGGACTCAGTGCCGGGTTCTACCAACACACCATAAACTAAATATTAAAAGAATTAAATACCTTTTTTGCTCTACATAACCTTGCTTCCAGTTCATATACTCCAACTTTCAAACTCTAGCACCATAAAGATAGAAGGAACCTCCTTCTTTGCTTCTTCTAGCATTGTAAAGTATTCCAATAATCAATTGCTTAGAAATAGTTTCATAAGAATATAAAGCAGTTGAAACGAATAAAGTCAATGAACCACTTGCAGGTGAGCACAATCAGGTGAACTAACTTAGGAAAGAGAAACCTCTAAGGCACCATCACTCCAATGCTGTGTAATGTTCTAATGAAAAGTTAAAAAAAGGAAGTGTATAAATTAATAAGGGAGATAAGAATATTTTTCCAAAATTACAGGAAAAGAGTTGGGTCTAATAGGATCTAGATGCGTGGGAAACTTCCTTAACTTGAAGACTTCGTATTTAATTGTATTTTGACAGCTAATTAATTTATTTCCTCGTTTGTTTTCCCAATGCTATTTCTATTCAAGCTTACTGTAAAATCTCAGAAGTAATACTCCCTTCCTCCTAATTGAACACAACACTCACTTTCCAATACCCACTAAATATACTCAATCTCCATCCCACTGTGTTTTTTCCATCAATGGTATGAATGGAGTATGAATCAAATGTCATCTATAAAATAGAAGTAATTTTATAACCATAAATGAGAAGACTTGAAATAAGAATTTATGTTATTGAACTTGAGAATCTTTTTCGCATCTTACTAAAAAAAATTAACTCTCTGTGTGCAAACACAAAAACATATAGATTAAATTTATATCACATAAAAACTATAGGAAAACGATAATATTGATTATTAAAAAGGAAGAAAAAGTTTGCATATTGTGCAATTCAAGTTGAGAAAAAAGAAAAATCAGGGATTGTGATTTGTGACATACCTGATACCCAAATAACAATGAACTTGCGGCACTGGGGGAACCTGGAGAAGAGAGGCGATGATAGATGCTTAAACACGTTTGTTCCCAAGACGAAGATCGAAACCGCTCGTATGGGAATGAAGATACCAAAACAGCAATTGCTCTTCGTAAATAGGATCCTTATGGATTTCATGTTTTAGAAGTGAAATATCCTTAATTGGCGGTCGGATCCATCTGCTTCGTCCGTGTTCGGCCACTGGTTGTGAAAAAGGGTTAGGTTAATTAGATGAGAAATGAGAAAAAGATGAAGAAGAGCAGATGGTGGATCATCTATGAAAATTAGGATTTGAAACAAAAGAGAATTTTCCATTCGAAAAGGAAAATTATCCCGTGTAATACAAAATAATAAATGTTCTTATATAAAGGTGCAATTTTATTCTTATACCAGTTTCAAACCTATGACTATGTTCACACTTGGGAAGGAAAAAAATATGAAAATGCAGCACTTCCCTTTCTTTTGCAAATGCAGTACTATGAAAATGGTAGATCATACACTATAAACAGACCAATACAATTCATAAAGGAAAAAGTGAAATTCAAATTGTGCATAGGGAGAACTAACAGGCTTTTAAAAGAAATCTATTTAAAATTGAAATGGATGCCAATGTGTAACCGATCAGTGACTAAATCATTCAAACACATATGAATAAATGAAATGAACAATAGAAACCATTAACCGTACCCCTTCATGCCATTTAATAAATTGAAATTAAACATAATTATTTGATATTAGATAATCAAATTTATAAAAATCGAAATATTAAATCTGAACATCATAATTTATTGAATAGGAAATCTATAATTGCAAGTTAATACCCTGAATGAAGTTGAAGAAGTGCATTTCCAAAACGGAAACGAAGATAATGACATGACTTATCAAACCATACATGCGATTTTGATCATTTCACCACATGTATATCTCATTGAAATAAGGTAAGCTGATGCTTTTGCTTATACAGTCTGGCAACTATAATTGCATATATAAGAAGCTGGTTCCAGTTCACAATAATATATGGTGTAGAAGCACCATTAGTGAGATAAGCCCGTTGTAAACAGCTCTACAGCAACCCATACTCAAGTATGTTGTATAAAGGTTCATTGGATATCACCTCATTATCAGGTAGATGAACAAAGCCCCTATGCTCTCAAGTCTAGGGTTTAAAAATTTCTCCAAGACACTTGACTCACCTACAAAAAAATATCTTTTTTTGAATTGCTTCTCTTTGTTATTCAATACCTGGAAAAATTAACTGGTACAGAAAATGTAATCCAAGAAAATAATCATACTTGGACGCACAAAACTCGGCTTAGCACCAGAGTAACAGGACCAGGAAGGAGAGAGTGGAGCAAGCATGTCTTAGATGATCAATGACAGTAGATCTGTGTATGTCTTCAACATCCCCAACACAAATCGCAAGTGGATTTGTATACTTACGCCCTTTAATAAAAGAGTTAAATTTTGAAGGAAAGAACAAGTGGGCTTTACCAAGCGTCACAAGCAAATTCATAGATTCGTGGTTGCTTTGTTTCTCTTGATCTATGCTTCCAGGGCAAAGATGGAAACCCTAGGCTCGTCCAGAGAACTAAAGAATCCAAACTGCAACTTCCTTCTTCATCAGGCTATGGACTGAATATGCAAAACGTGGCTTCGAAACTGATGGCCAGTTCCTATAAAATTGGACCGTGCGATTGGCCTTTGAGATGAAATTCAACCGTTGGATTGTCACAAAAATTAGTTAGATTGGAGGTTGTCCTCGATCCTTGTGTGCGAATTCCAATCTCTCAATCTCTAATCTCTCAATCTCTACGTTGTCTGGATCCTCGGGCTTCATTCTTCATCGACTAGGGTGGGAGGAGGCATGCTAATAAAATGCTCGACAGCTCTCGCGTTATCATGATCGGGTGCCTATATAGTTGACAGTCAGATTTTGCCAATTCCAAATGAAATTGGACCGTCCGATCCGAGGGAAATTTGGATAGAAGTTTATTCAATTTTGATTCTACTTTTATATATATAATAGATATGCATCATGAATATTATAATGCGAGATGGAAGTTGGATAGAATTAACAAAATAAATAAATTTAATATGTACGGAGTATGTTTTATGGATATGAGACTTTTTTGTTATCACTTATTGTAAGTTCTTAAATAAAATTCTGTAATGTATTATGCTCTCTATTGATAGAATAAATATATTTATCTACAAATCAAATTTTAAAGTACAAATATACATGCATAAAAATTATATTTCAAATAAATTACTCCCGGTCCGGTCTAGTCCTTTTGTCCTAGTTTGGTCTTGGTCTAGTCTTTTGAAAAGGGCTACTCGGTCCGTTATCAGTCTATTCTTTCATAAAAAATCAAGAACCAAATGAGACTATTGGTCCAAAACCGGATCGGTCTCAGGGACCACATCGGTCTCATCTTTTATGGTCGCAATTCCAATTTATCTCAATCAATCTTTTCAATCATAGTCTTTATATACAAATTGCTGATCTAGGAGGTAGGGTGTGCCTGCGGTGCATGGGGCAGGGGGGGTCGGTTTAGGGGTGACTTGAGTGGATTGTATGCGAGTAAGGGATAGAAACTATCAATTTTTACTAATAGAACATTGTATGTATCTCGTGTCATTTGAAGATCAAATTAATCAATGTCAACAGAACTGTGGTCCATGCACACATAAGTGCAAAGTCCTTAACTTAATTTTTTGTTGTGGATCGGGGATAAGGGTAACGTGTTGTAAAGTACTCTTTACCAAACTTACAATGACCTTTGATGAAAGCCAGAATTCAAATCTTTGAGTGAATGCGGCTCAGAGTTGCCTCAATCAAGCCTCGTCCAAAGTGCTGATACTTTTGAAATGTGGGTAAATGAAATGTTATACGGAGTATGTTTCATTTATTTGCCTTAATTGGAAAGTTGATGAATCCAATGTGAATGCTAAAAAAGAATGCTAGTACTTGACAAATACACTGAAACATGGAGTATAAAATTATAATGGAAAATATAGAAAATTCAACAGAGTAGTAAACTGTAAACATATTCCTACCTTGACAATAGCTGGATTATCTTTGCTTGACAAGTTGACAGGTAGAAAATGAAGGTTTGGCATCTTTAAGTGGATTGATTCTATGTCTTGAAACCTGAAATCATGACAACAAATTATGGAATCTTCGTCTTCGAATTATGATACTTTCTAAGTCCCCAAATTATATACTTAGTTTAATTTCAAAGTTTATAGGAAGTGTTCGTGGAAGGTGTGAAAAGTGTGTGATGACTGATGAGAATTTGTTTAGAAAGAGAATTGTTGTGAACCAGATATTCTTTTCTTAAAAAAAGAAAGAAAAGTGTGAAGTTTATTTTTGAATAGATAACTAAGAAAAGTGTGAATTTAATCGTGGGACAAAAGAACTGATATAGATAAAACCTGCCAAGAACAGTCTTTGCCATGTCATAAAGTGTGCTTTGGACGGATGGACTGTACACACCCTCCTTAGGAGGGCCAAAAAGAAGTATGTTGCAGAACCTTTTTCACATTCATATACATCTCTGTGAAGTAAAGGTTCTTTGTGGGAACACCTGAGAGGGATTTGGAGTACCTGTCATTACCCAATATACTTTATCATAACAAAATTTAGTTCACATGAATTTACATTAAGAATAATCAAAACGAAAACAGTTTAATTACATTCAGAACGATAAAAAACAGCCTAATGAACGACGGCTTACCTCCATAATGCTGTAACTTCTGTGGCCAACATCCTTTCTTGTGTTTCAGGCAGGATAGTGTACTTGTCTCTTATGAACCCCTCAAAACCTGACTGTAAATTTACTCAATAGAAAGCAACCAAGAAAAAATGCATGTCAGTATGTTTAGCAGTCTGGAGTGGAGACACATGTGTTTGTTTAGCAGTCTGAGTGAAGATACCTTTGTTGTCTTCAGCACTGCTAAACCCTCAACACCAGATGTAACCTGCAATCCGCCGGATTTGTCTAGGAGCACTTCAGTAGTGTGCTTCTCAGACCCAAGCTTAAAACCTTTGAGAAAACAGAAAACATCATCAAAAGAACATTCCTGTTCTATTCAACATTCCACCATCGCAACACATTTCATACAGGCAGAGAATTGAATTTTGTCGATTAGCTAAATGCTATAAGTAGGTTGCTAGTTGCAGAAGAGATTGGGTTTTCTGGTACTAAATAGAAGAAGGGATGGGACTTTCATATTTTAAAAGGTAGTGATGAATATGAAATAACATGCCAAAAAGAAGGTGATGCCTTGTAACCATTTTGGGTTTTAGTCATACAAATCCAAGTTAATGACACCATATCAGTTGGCTGTTGACCTTAACTTCAACCTCAGCCCTAATTGGGAAAAAATGGAAATACGTAGTACTTGTGATTTCTAAATGTAAATTTCAGCAAGTCAACAAATGCAAATATATATTTGTTTCAATACCATATTCATATCATTTCATCATTTGTATTCCTACTCCAATTGAACTCATGCTCTTGTATTCCTATCCATGGCAAGTGGTTAGCTGGTTATTATGACTTCTCCAAAGATAACAATAATATAGAAGTGTACTTCCACACTTTTTACTCATGTCTAAGATATCTTACCATGTGTATGTAGCTGGCCGTTCATGTTGACACGTTCCCATGGCTTCTCTACTATCCTGATGATAGCAGCAGTGACCTTTGGGAACCCTCATAAATATAAAAAACAGAGAAACACAATCATGGAAATCTTAATAACAACCAAACTCTAATAATTGCAGTAAAACAGCTTGGTTTTCTAATAGCAATAAACTTACATGACACTAATTTATTTCATGTGTGACCAAACAGAGAAACACAGTAAGCATATGCACCAATAATTGGGGATATATATTCTATAATCTCACCTGCCTATAATATGAAGTGAAGTGCTTGGCCAGTTATATAGCAAAGTCCTCTGCTGAGAGTCGCTTGGAACATTCCTTGGCTTTAGCATATACCTATTCCATGGCCCAAATGATACAATTCAATGATTATGAAACAGATCAGAGCGCATTTTTCCATCGTAAAGCGCTTTTTTGAATGAATTTAAACTGTGTTAGTTCTTCTAAACATCTTCAGTTAAACTGGTTTATTTACCAATAATAGATCAAACCATACCAAGGAAAACTAATTCTACAAATTGTGTAGATAGGAATATCTAACGCCGATAAACAGATCAAGTTCCACATGAATCCTAAAACAATAATTCGATCAGTATAGAGAGCTGGGCATACGGTGTTCTTCATGGTATCTGTGGCGACTATATCGGAGTTGTCGCCGGCGATGTAGGCGGGAAGCCAATCGGAGAGGAGGCTTATGCTGACGTTCCACTCGGCGAAGTGACGGAGGCGGGTAAACGAAGTCTTTTAACTGTTCTAACTCAAAAGTTTAATCTAATATTTCATCGTGTGATATTCATTCTTATTTTTTGATATGGAAACGTCAACATTTTACATAAAACGAGTCATCATATAAAATTAACTCTAATAATATATTAAGAGCACTGGCAGCGGCAAGGAGGAGCCTTGCCACGCCCTACCCTCCGTGTAGAGTGAAGCACGGCAGTGGGCCAGGAAAAAAATGGGTCGCGAGTCACTTCGCGTTGCGTGGCGGATGCAAGGCAAAATCGAAGCAGGAAAATACAATTACTCTCCTGGAAAATACAATTACTCTCTTCTCTGCGTTAGTTTTCTCCGGCAAAAAAACAGCAAAATACAATTCTCTTCTCTGCGCTAGTCTTCTCCGGCCATCATGGTTCCCCTGCGACCCTCACTCAGGTAAATCCATTCATCTTTGCTCTGCATTCCATCTCTGTGGTTGATCTCTTTTAGGCCTAATTGGTTGTTTTTAATTCATCAAAAAATCAAATAGATGAATTCAGTGTAGTGCACACTAGGTGTTTGACAAAATGTCCAAATGTAGGTTATTGAGTTTTTGGCCAAAAAATACTATTATTTGACAAAAAAAATACTATTGTTTTTCCACTTTCAAGTCTTTTTTGCAGAACAAACAAAAAGTGATATATAGTTGGGAACCAAAAGTCGGAAGGATCAAAGCCTTGCAAATTATTGCATACTGTGTAAAAGAGATTGAATGCAGAAACATTTCAATCCTTGCAAATTTCAATATGTACATCCTTGCAAATTTCAACATCTACAGAAATATTTTGTGTCATAGTGAGCAACCAAAATTTAACTCATTATTAAAAAAAAAGGTGTACCTTTCTCACACACTTTGTTGCCAAATTGTTAAGTGCAATGGTAAAAGGATTGCATGGTTAATGAAATTCAAAAGTCAATAATGGAAAAAGAAATGTAGCATAGCAATAAGGTCCACATTAGATTTTATTTAAAAATCATTTTGGTTTTTACTTAAATTCAAATACTTATACTCACTGGACATTTAGATTTGGAACTTAAAATTGGAAGCATAAGTGAGTTCTTGGTTCCTTTTTCCATAATATTTTCATATTTGTCTTTCATTGAAGTTTTTTCTCCATCTCTTTCTCTTTTTTTCCTTTTTGAGTAATTTTTCAAAACCAACAATAGTATCAGTTAAAGCTAAAGCCTAGCTTGGCTGTTTTGCACTTGCTTGGTCTGTTGTATTCTCAATCTTTCAAATCTCAAACCATTAATTATGGTCTGCAAGTTCTTGGTGGAAAAATTTAAGAAGAAATGTGTTTCATTTCCAACAGAATCTATCAATGTGTTTGGAAAATGATTGAAGATGGTGAGTCTTTTCTATATCCTCCAATTTCTGTTTTCTTATGCTTAAATCTTTTGATTTTGTTGTGTATCTGACTAATGCAGCTTTTGCTGGATTTTGGGAAATGGATGAACCACTTAAGAGGACATTGACTGTATTTCTTGATTGGTATAAAATTGAAAATTTTGCTCTTTAGTATTTCCTATTGATAGAACATTTTTATCATGCAAATTGAATTCTAAACAGTTTTGAACTTTTGAGGATTAAAAAAGACACCCATAATGAGATGTAGTCTTTGCTTCTTATCTATGTCCACTCTCATTGATTTTGTTGTTTGTCAATATTGCAAAATTACAAGAGTTGTTCTTCGGTAGTTCTGAGGCCGTGGTGTCGTATGACTTATTGATATGGCATGCATTCTTTGGGGTCCCTAGAAGCCAAAACGACATCAATGTTCTTCACCGCTCACCGTTGTTTGATGAATTATATGTTGACCAAGCCCCAAAATGTGAATACATTGTGAACGGTCATAAGTATGATATCGGGTATTACCTTGGCGATGGAATATACCCAAGGTGGTCAACCATTGTCAAATCAATTCCACATCCAAGAGGACCAAAGGAGAAATTGTTTGCAGAGCAGCAAGAGTCATATAGAAAGGATGTCGAGCGAGCATTCGGTGTACTACAAAGTCGATTTGCAATAGTCCGCGAACCTTTCAAATGGTTATTATGATGTGTTTCTCGGATTTTTTTGATGTCAAGCGAGCATTCTTGAATTATTATTATGATGTGTTTCTCGGATTTTTTAGATGATTGTAATAGACTTTTATGTTGATGCATTTTTATGATTATGTTCTTTATATTTTCTATCCCAACTTTTTTTTATATAATTTCATATCGAATTTTTAAAATGTGCCGTCATAATTTATATTTTATTTTTAATTTTACATATTCAAATACATTACTAAATAATTATGAATAATTAAAGTATACTTCGTACAATTTAAATCTTCACAACAAAATATAAACATTTATAAAAAACAAAAATAAAATATATTGAGTTGAGAAAAAGTAAAATAAAATGATTAAAATATGCCAAAAATCTAAAGTGAGTAAATAATAATGATTTGCCACTGCATGACATACCACTCTAATGTCACGCCACTGTGTGACTAGATTAACTTTAATTGGTTAAACAATGCCATGTCAGCATGTGGCATTCCAGTATATGACTTGCCAATGTTCATGCTCTAAAGAATACTCCTTGGGTTTCGTTCCAAAAAGAAAATACTTCTTATTATAATTTGCATGTTAAATTAATACGAGTATAATTTTCTCTATACATTTTTATTGATCATTTGATTAAAAAAATAATAATCTTTTCACCACTTTTTTTGTAGAACTTCTAATGTAGTTTTTTAATGTATAAATTTAACTTTTTACTCCAACAATAATTTTTATTCAAATTAATTTGAAAATAATTTCAATCAAACATTGTAAATATTAAAAAAAACGTGATAGGGAGAGAGTTATATCAAAAGAAACCCCCTAAATAGAAGTAAAAAACATATGTCATATTCTCAAAATAGGATGTCAAACTTAAACTCTTCTAAATAGAAGTAATTAATTAAGTAATAAAGAAAAAAACATCGCATCAATTTCTTTAAAACCGTACCATATCCAGTGAAATAAATTCAAACAAAGAACATATGTGGTGGTTCCCATCTTTCCTCTAATCCTGGTAATTAATAATAGTTACTTTTAATGTACTCCCTCCGTCCATGTATGATCTTCCCATTACGCGTTACGAGGCTTGACCGACTTTATTTTCAATTTAATTTAATTGATTATAGAAGTAAAATTTTAAAATAAAATTTATATAGTAATAAACTACATGAAAAGTTCTACAAAACTAGAGGTGACAAGACTATATTATTTTATGAAATTACTAGTAAAATTGAGTAAACAAAGTGAGTAAAAATTGACCCTGTGAATAGTGACTGGGAAAATCTATGGTGGACAGACGGAGTATTTATTAAACCAAGTGAGAATAATATTTTTCTACGCACTTGAAAGTCTCTTGAAGAACAAATACGTCTTTTAGACAATTCCACACAATCATAAAAATTGCACGAAGAACAAACTTACGCCTCTGTTTATATCCCTTACACATCTATCGCACCGCCTATATCGATTAGAGCTTATTTTGGTTTGGTTTGGTTTTTCTTTTCTTTTTTGTATTCGACTGTTTTTTCTTTTAATTTTTTTGTTTGATTGTTTTTTTACTAGTTGTGTTTAAATATTGTTCCTAATTTCAACAAAATTTGGTGATAGTAATAAGATACTTGATATTGTATGTTGGAAATCTCGACATTTCACTTTCTTTTTTACATTTTATATTAATATGTTTGGCATTACGCAATAACATGTTTGGCATTATGCAATGACATTATTGTTAGTATGCATTATTGTCTTTGATAGGCTTTGGTTGTCATTGTATTGGAAATTTTTTCCCCTCGCAATGACATCATGACACTATAGTGACGATAATGGACGTCTTAATCCCAATGTTGGCAGTAAGTTATGAAATTGAGAGCAGCAAATGGGGCGATGGAGGCGGCATCCGCAACAAATGGGGATGAGATAGTGCCAACCGTGGCAGTGTTAGTGGCAGCAACAATGTAGATGGAGCCGCATTTAGTAACGATGACAACATGAGATTGTGGCGATGGAGTGACAGTGACGACAGTAGCGGCGATGACGACGGGGGTGGCGGCAATGACATGTGCGGCTGGGGTTGTAACTAATTTAGGATTTTTTTTAATGTATAAATGTATTTAATTTCATATTTGTAATATGAATATAATTTCTATTTTTGTACGTGGTCAATATTTTACTTATATTTTGCTTCTTAACTCTAATTCATTAGATTAATTTAGTTTATTACTCTTATTTAAGTAAATTTATGTTTCAACTCTTATTTTGAAAATATGTCATACTTTGTATATTTTACTACTAAGTTGGTTTTTCTCCCATATTCCAATTTCAAATGTCCAAAAATAAAATAAAAAGCCTCAATTAAATTCGTAGAATTGTACGGTGCAAATATTGAGAAAGAATTGGGGGGGGGGGGTGGGGCAATGTGGGCCTTTCTCT